ATTACTAAGAGAACTTACAGTTCTTAAAATTTACATGAAGAAGTATTTAGGGGTTAAGGAACATTATGTCTGCAATTTGTTCCTGAATTATTTAACAGTAATAATAAAAACCATAATCCATATCTATCAAAATAAAGCAAATATGGCAAAATATGAATAGGTGAATCTATTCTTTATATTATTCTATTTTCTCTATACTTGAAATTATCTCAATATGAATGCAGTTTTTAAAGAGTCATGTCTAGTTAATGTTTATTTTTTGTGCATTTATTCAGACTTGTACTATGTGCCTAATAAGTGACAGGTACTGTCCTAGGCACTGACTTTAGAAATGAATAAAGAAAAAAAACCACTGCTCTTCTAAAAAAGAAAAGAAAATTGCAATGTGATTATGTGCCATAAATTAGACGGGTGCTATAGGAGTACATAATCAGGGTGCCTAACTCAGCCCTGGGTACAGGTGAGGTGTGAGTTTGATGTAAGGTGAAGTTGTCACCTTTAGAAGGCTGTCATGGACAGCATCCTATTCTGCTGGACACACTTGAGCTAGGATTTCAAAGATGAATAGAATTTTGCCAGAAAGACAAGAAGAAAAAGACACTTCATTCAGATAGCTGGGAATGGCGACGCTTGAAGAATTGTGTGGGAGGAAGTGGTACAATGTGAGGCCAAATGAAAAGGGCCACTAGTGTTGAAACCGCCAGCTTCAAACTCTGTACAACCAAACTTAGAATAAACATAATAAAAGTAACAGATTTCTTGATTCTAAAAGTGATAAATATTGGTTTACCTCTAAAATTAGGTGTTTACTCTCAAATATTTACCAGGAAAAACATGTAATAGCTCACTTACATTTATAGACAAGAAAGGTAAAAAATTTAATACCACACCTTCTATCAAATCCATTCCTGTAATATAATATAGTTGGTTTTCCAGACACATGGAATAACACTAACTTCTCAAATAATCAGATAAAAATCTCTATGTAAGATTAAAAAATGTACTACCCAAAGAGCACCAGCATAGACAGACAAATCATCTGCCTAAAATCCATACCTTATAAGCCTACAAGTAAAATAAACCAACTGATAGCTCATCTATACAAATTCTATGAAGATTAAATCACATAAATGCTTCACTACAATAAAATGTTGTTTTGCCAAGTAAGCAACAATATGAAATTTCCACACTGCAGGTCAACTGCCAAGTATTCTCCTTATTCTCAAGAACAGCTGGTGTTTCACAACTGATAAAAAAATATTCTAAGGTTATCCTAACACAACCTTTCAACAACATCCAGAAAACATTCTTCACATCTGTCCAAAATCTACTTCACTGAATGTGATCAGAAATAACCCAATTAACAAAGGTGAACAAAGGTCAAAGAAAAGACTGGAAATTTCTAATTGAGATGGCCCTTAGCTTTCTACTGATAATTATTCATACCTTCGCCATGAGAAGTCTGCCTGCCACTGTTTTTTTTCTTTTTTTTAGCTAAGTCCACACACACAGCCCTTAGAGGATGCGTCAAATTCTGCTGTAGTGTAACGAAACACCTCTAGGCAGCCATACATAGTAAAATGACAACATATAACTATAATAAACTTAATTACAATGTAAAAATAACCAAATTTAAACGTTATTAAGCAACCAAAAATAAAACTAAGCACCCATGGTACAATGCGTGTAACTTAAAAACAGAAAAAGTGCTTAAGACATCAGCCTAGCTGTAACTAATGGCGGCTAGAAAATTAGGACAAAACTTCTCCATATGTGTTGATATAAGTGAAAATTAAAAGCAACAATGTGATAGTAGCATAAACTCCTAGAAATGTAACAGTAATTTGATTTTCAACTGAGACCACACTGGTGGTTCTCCCCTTCCCTGAAAAAGTGCTGCTTTTATTATACTGCAGCACCACCACGTGGCAGAAGGACATACTGCAACTCTAGGACTGCTAGTTGGATAGTTTCATCACTCAAAAATGGCAAATACAATGGACTGATTCCTCCAAAATTCATGTGTGGAAGGCCTAAATGCCTAATGTGACTGCATTAGGAGTTAGGGTCTATGAGGTGATGATAAAGGTTAAATGAGGTCATATGGGTCGGGCCCTAAATCAATAGGGCTGGTGCCTTTGTAAGAGGAGACAACACTGGTGCACTCTGCACTCACACCCAGGAAAGGCCGCAGGAGCACAAAGAAAGAAGACAGCCAGCTGCACGCCAGGGTGAGAGGCCTTACCAGGAGTCCAATCAGCAGACAGCCCGACCTTAGACTTCCCAGCCTCCAGAACAGTGGGAAATACATTTCTACTGGTTAAGCCACCCAGTCTGTGGTATTTTGTTACGGGAGCCTGAATAGACTAACACAGCAATGCTCTACCTTAATCCCAAAACTCTTCTCTTTATGTCAAAAGGATTTATTTACAACTCAGGAATAAAAGTCAAAAGACTTGCCTTTAAAAATTCTAGCCCCAAAATTTACAGATATTAAAGTTAAGTCTTTTCTGACAAGTTCTTTTATCAGTTAAAAGAGGGTATTATTTAGATCAGACATTAAGATTCTTATTATCAAAGGGAACATTTTTTCCCCCTGGATTGTGGGTCGTAAGTATGCCTGCGCTTTCCTCAGAGCAAAACAAAACAGGGGGAAAAAGTTAATACTGGTCCAAATTAGAAAGGTAAATTTTATTAGAAAATAGACTTATGTCTTAAAAATCACCAATTCCTTCTGTTTTCATCTGTGTTTAGAAATATTCACCCATTTACAAATATTCCTTGACTGCTTATAGACTGCTTATATCCTAAACATCTACACTCCATTCCCCCACTCTCCATGTCCTGAGAATAAATTTTATTTACTTTCTTACAAATCATGGTGATCCACAATTGCTATGAAATTAGCACCATATAGATGGGACAATTTTTTTCTCTTAATATTCCAGAGCAGAGAACAAACAAGATAAATCAAAGTGAAAAACTGTCTCAGTTTACAGGTTAACTACCTCTCCATCTTTTACACCAAATATACTATTTCTGCATGACCCTGACTCTTTACAATATAGTACATAAAACTTATCAGATGGAGAGTTCTAGGGGTACATGCAAGTACATCCCCTGGGTCTAGGGCACCTCTTCAGTTTTTTCAAGGTTAAGTATTTGATTCCCTCAAAGAAGGTCAAGTTACAGAGACAGCTGATCTCCAATTTTAGTCTAAATTTCTGAAATTCCAGTTAATGTAGTATCTTTTCTGAACCTAGACCAACTATCTCACTGCTGTAGGACTAGTCTAACTCCATGTATAAGATTTACAGATCAATTCCTGAGAACGCTGAGGATGCTATGGTTCCTATTTTGACCTTCCTATAAGCAAGAGGACAACATAGTTTGAAGACATAAAAGGGAAGACTTCACAACTACTCCGTTTCATCTCCTGCCATCTACAGAGAAGAAAGTGAAAGCTCTTAGAGGATGTGACAATTCCTCGCCTGCTCCCTAAATAGCTTTCAATTTTAAAGGGTAAATATAAACCTTCACTTACTTGTGTATGAAAGCTCTGTCTACAAGCCATTGCAAATAGTTGCTTAAACTGTTCCATACTCAACTTAAAATGCAACATTTTTAATCATTTTTAAAACTTACTCCAAAGTAAATAACCACTAATAGTTTTTCTACAGTAAATAACCCCTAATGGTTTATAAGAATTTTAACCATTTTCCCTCACTAATAATTATACCCAAACTTAAAACAGGCAGTGAATACTGCTTCAGGAAAACATTGAGTCAAAAAATAAATTAAAATTAGGCAAGAGATCCAAATAAAGTATTCCACAAAATCTTTACTGCCATCTCAAAAACATCTTAAAATTCAATCACTATCAGCTTAGACCTTAAAGATATTACTAATTACAAAGATATCACTTCTAGTTATGGAGCACTTGAGTGACTCTTAACAATTTTATATCTTACAGAGATTAAGTTGAGTTACCCAAAGTCTCTAAGCTGTTGAGCAACATATACTAACACTATACTGGAACAAAAATCTTTTCACTCCTCTTTCCGTTATATCATACTCTCCTACAGCTCAACTTCTCACATGTCAAAGACAAGGCATAATGTAATAAATGACTAGGAACTGATAAGTAAGAATACAGTATACAATATATCACAAGGTACTATGTAATTTATGCCAAACAAATGACAAAGACAGCATTTGCTATTGAAATTCAGACTGCTGTGGGCTAGAGCCGACTGGTTATATTTTTAAATAAATAAGATTTTTAAATAAGAATTAACTTCATCATTTTACAAATAAGAAACTCAGGTCCTGTATACAGAGCTAGTTGGTGGCAGTCCTTCAAGGAAAAAGAATAATTTGAGCTTGGTCTAGAAAGATACCTAGATAGGATTTGAATAGGCCGGAAGGAGAGAGAACTACCCAAGTAGGGAAATTATAGAAGCAAAAGCTTAGAGGCTGAAACAAAGCAGTCAAATTCAGGGAACAAATAATTCCTTTTGACTAAGAATAAAGAAAGAGAAACTTAGGAATGGCTGAGTTCTGTGTTGGGGGTAGGGGAAGCTGTTTCAATACTTAAAGAATTAGACTTCATCCTGTAAGCAGTGGAAAGCTAGAATGGGTTTTGAGCAACAAATGTTAATTTCTTAGAAAAGCCCAAATTGTGCATTTGTCTGGAAGCCAAGACTGTAAGCATAAAACAAGTTATAACAGCCAAAATGTTTTAACCAATAATAAATCCAATTCTAAAAGGAAGATGGAGAAGTTATCATGAGGAAAAGAAAGTTAAAGAAATCATAGAATAAAAAATGGACAATGAAAGAAAATGGAAACAAATAAAAGAAGATGACAGATGCAGACAAAATAAGTTATAAAAGATATTGCTAAAGAGGAGTAAATGATCCAAACAAGTCTCCATGGCTAAAAAAACACACACAAAGCATAACCACCAAAGATCACTGTTTCAAACTGCAACAACTCACCTCTCTAGCAGCACAATCATGAGGAGCTTCTTCTTTATTTACTTTTCCTTTTGGAAATCCCCAGCCTGATTTTGCTAGATACCCCTGAACAAGTAGTACCTACAAAACAATCAGAGGTAAAAATATAACTTGCCCTCCCTTTCCCAAAGATGTTTTTCTCCTTACTTCAGGTAACTGGCATCACCAATAATTTTATGTAGTACTTGATAAAGTATCCTCCAGAAGGCTGAATATACTACTACTACTAAGGGCATTCTGCCCATTTTGACATTTTTTGTTCAACAACAAAGTGACTTCCTTGCAATAAGCCATACTACGACAAGTATAAATTATTAAGACCCAGAATGCAGACAAAATATGCAAAATCTGGCCTTTTATCACTAAAAATCTAAATATATTTTTAAAACCTCAGATCAGAACATTATAGAAATAACACATATTATCAGGATGAAAACAGCTGATGATCCTTTCACTAAAAACCTTTTATTTTATTACACCCACTCACATTTTCAAGTGTCTCATCAAGAATAATTGCACCATATGTTGGCACTCCCATTTTGTATTCCTTCCATTCATCCAAAATTTTTTCCACATCTTCACCTTGAGGCAGCAAAAACGGACAATGACTGAAGAGTATATCTTGTGTTAAGGAAGCTACTTTTTCCCTTAGTACAGCTTGAGTACTCATACACAGAGACCTACTTAAATCAATTGTGTACTTTCTATGAAATTACTTGTATCTTTACCTCACTTATTCTTGTTTTTGTTTTTTCACATTTGTTTTGAACAAGTCATTGCTAACTTCTGCATTTAGCCTAGACACAAATCAAGTAAGTTTTGAATACTCACAGTCTGGTTCCCTAAGTTAACACAAACTCAGGAACATGTGAGCATTTCAAATACTTCTCATGAAGTGGGTCAAATTTATCATGTTATAAGTTGAACGGATACTAAAACCAATAGCAAGAAATACATGCACAGTACACATACATTGGTAAGAGGCAAAAACCATCAGGACAAGTAAAAGGGGCTAACTCTGGGAAGTGGAACCAGGGATGAAGTATACCACCCTACTGGTGAATTTCTTTACCATGTACATGTGTTGCTTTTACAATTAAAAACATTTTTAAGATGAGTATTTATTAAGGACTATAAAGAAAGGTATACCTGGGTACTAACGAAAGGATAGCCTGTTTCAAAAGAAATTAGGCACGCCTTCCCAAAACTGGGCATGGTAAAAAAATTTTTAAAAATAAATAAAACCTAAACCTGTAAAGTTTATGCTCAGGTTTCCAATAGTCTATGCTATCAAACGCCTCATAATTATAACACCATTAATTATGAAATGTGGGGGAAATTATAATTCATGATAATTTTTCTCAAACGGAGGACAAATTCTTAAGGGTCTCCAAGTCTTTTATGAAAACTTAAAATATTCTGTGTTTCATTTTTATCTTAATCTAAAAAACATGTAATAAGAGCATATTTTCAACCTTTTGGATGATCACATATAAAAACTACTACACTACTAAATTTTAGAGACCATACTGGTGCTACTGGTACTTTAATTGCTGTGGGCTACTAAAAACAGAAGAAACATAACATGCAAATTGCGCATTAAGGTCAAATAATATTCCAATGTAACACAAAAAGGAAGATTTCGTAACAGACAGAGCCAAGGAAAGTGGTGTGCAAACTGGTAGTGCAGGTACGTCCGAACACCCTCGAAGAAGTCAGCATTATATTCACATCGCGATCAATGGTTTGGTTTAAACAAAAATATCACATTAAAAAATCACATTAAATTCATTTTTTGAAAATTGTATGAGTTCTATAGTTTTGTGTTTAAAAATTTGTTTTGCTTTTATAGTTGTAATAAGAACTAAAGAGGTTCTCTGAGAGCTCAAAAAAGTCAACCATCTATGACAACACTGTAATTAAAAGACAAGTATTAGGTTCATCTCAATATAATTATTTCATCCCTTTATTTGGAGAGGGGGGAAAAAAAATAAAAGTTTCGATGTAACATTAACCATTCCATGAAGCCCTATGGTTCTACACACCAGCTTGCTAAGATTTTGAAAGTTATTTCCCAGTGAAGTCTGGCTTGATATGTTTAGTAAAATCCCTTGTGTGTTTTAAAGTCACCATCAATTATTTTGACTCTAGGTATAAATATGAAATAAATGGATATTTTTCCACTAAAAATTTAACCATAGAGAAAAACATTAAAAAATACCAGAAACAGAGATAACTTCCAATAATTCAGAGAAAACACTTAACCAGTTTTTTCTTTCTCTTCCTTCTCCCTACAATGTTCCTAACAATTTTAAAGTGTATCTATGTCTCTATAATGAACTGTTACCTCATTTTTCTACCTATTAAACAACTTCTTTAAAAAGGTTTCACAAGATAAATTGAATTAACTGCTAAAACCTTGGAAATTATTGACACTCTTCATTTATCCACTTTTTTCCTACCCCAAAATTACCACAAAATAAGTGGGTTGATGAACCAACCAACTACAGTTCAAGACACACTTGGAATTAATATTGAAAAGAACCTGCGAAGTACTTGCTCAAGTCTACACAATCAGCAAGTAACAGAATCCAATCCAACATGACATCAATTTCTCTACTGACAACTCTTCAATCCTCCTCCATACTCAACAGTACATAAAATAATGCAGTTCAAATATGGGAGTGGAAATTTTTAATACCATTTTTATTTAATGAGACAATGTATTTAATTAAAAAACCTAGAATACGCACTGAGTCATATTAATTATCTTTCTAATTTTCACTAAGATTCTTACTTCATTACGGATTTTCTTAACCACCCAAATCAAATTATTTTGTGTCTTAAGTCTAGGTTACTGGGCCTTACACAGTAGCTCTAAGAGAAAGACAGAAGGTGACAATGACTACATAAAGAATGTAAGAAGTTTTAAGTACATATATCTACTTGTATTATATACATCTTTTTTTTTAGCAATTCAGTGATTTTTTAAAAAATACTTTTTTATTCTGACATGTTTGCAAAAACATGTCAGATCTACTGTAGTTATAAATAAACATTTAGACAGTAATTTCCATCCAAAATCCTTCTGTTACCAAGATGGTATCAATTTCCCCTTGGACAACTCATCTCAAGTTCTAGCCTCAGTTTCATGTGTCCCTTGTCCTTCACAACCATTCCCACCTCTGAGACCAACTCCCAGGGCAACATTCTGGACCTTGCCATCACTACAATTGTGAGAACAGTTTGATTAGAATAAAACATCATGACCATAATTTTCTATAGCATTCTTTTAATTACTCACATTATGCTGTTACTCTACACCAAATTTTTTTTTTTTTTACAGTTTTCCTTTCTCCATATGACCACCCTCCTGCTTTTGTCTTCTTCCCTAAACAATATGTGTGGTCAAATCACTTTAATCAATGTCTTAGCAATATCCCAAATTCCCTTGTCCCACTGTTCTCTGAATATAGCTCCCTAGCAAAATCTCAACCCATAAACAAATGGGTTCTATACCCATATTGCCAATTGCTTACTGAAGAAAAATCACAAGACTGCACAATTTACAAAAGAGAAAAGAGGCACAGAAAAGCCCCACAATTTGCCCAAGGTCACTGGCAAATGGCAGATGGGATAAGAACGCCAGCAATGTGGCTCAAGAACTCATTAACTTTTACACAGTCTCACCACTTCCAATATCCCACAGGTACCATAAACCATTATGTCCATAACTGAACCCATCACTCCCCCACCAAATTTCTTCTCCTTTATTTTTCTACAAATGGAATGAATGGCACACCCATCCACTCAGCTGCTCAAATCAGAAACCTGGGTGCCATCTTTGATTCCTTCCACTTTTCCTCAGATATCCAAGTTATAACATTACCTCCTAAATATCACTCAAATTTAACCTATTCACTTCTATCACTTCTATTCCATTTTTCTCTCATACATTAATGAAATAGCAACTTAACTAGGTTGCCAGTCTTACCTTCCTCCAATTCACAGTCTACACTATTTCAGAACTGTCTTCCTAAACAACCCTAGAAAGAAATAAAGGAAACGTGGCAAAAAGTTAACAACGGTGAATACATAAGAAGGGTATAATGGCAGTTGACTGTAATATTCTTTTAACTTCTGTTAGGTTTTTCCCAAAATAAAATGTAAAATTTAAAAATCTCCTATATTCTCTTATTATTCTTATGGATAAAGTCCAAACCAACATGGGCTACAAGAGCCTTCTTTCAAAGAACACTTTTACCTAATTTCAAATCTGGGTTGAGTAGCCATCTTTCCTGTTCCTACTGAACCCTATGCTATCAAAACTGTGAGACTGCACTGTAATCATGTCCTTTCTTGTCTCTCATCTCCCTGAAGAAGGGGCTGAATCTACCTTGTTCACTGCACAATGCCTGGCATAGAGGAAGCACTCAATTATTTAACGAAGTCTACCATATTAGCAAGAAATGTTTAATTCAGTTGTATGGAGGGAAAAAACCTAATTAAAATAGAGGCCTTTAAAAAATAACAAGGAAAATTTAAAACTCACATGCTTACACACACAAAACCTTATCCAGAACCCCCAAGTATATAAAGCTGCTTTGGCAAAACCCTACATCTATGCAAAATAAACCAAAATCACAGAAGAGGATCTGCCTGTTTCTGTAACTAGATTATAGTTCCTCAAAAACAGTCTTCTGTGACTTCTTCACAGAACCTATTACCAAGACTTTAACAAAGACATGCTCAAAAATGCCATTGAAATCTGTCTCTTCAGTCTCTTCTGTGTAGTCCCTCTACTATGGGTCAGGACCTTACTGCTACAAATCTGAAGTAATGTTAACGGTCCTCCTTGTGGTTCAACCTTTTCTACAAAGTAAGTATTAAATACCACTATCAAATGATCTGAGAAATATCCCTCAGTCTTGCTCAAAAACTTTCAATCATCAACAGTTAAATAGAATAGACAGAGTTTCAACCATTTTCTGCAGAGCCCTAGGGGGTTCCTCATTTCACGGGGCTAAAGAAAAAGCACAGGGAGCCGAGTATGAGGGTTATTTTAGGTTACTTACTCCTATTCCAACTCTAGTGTAGCACAGTGAACTTGTGGGTACAATTTCATCTGACCACACAATTTATGGTTTAAAAAAATGACTTAGAGAATAAAAATCAAAGAACTTTGGCTCAAGATTTAAAAACTCACAAACCCCACTATATATCTTCCATCCATACCTCCTCTTAGATCTCTGTAAGAACCTCAATATAAACTAATTTACTTCTTGAGATAATCCTTATCCTTTCTGACTCTCCCATTTTCCTCAATCCCTTTTCTTTCCCTGGAACCTATTTCCCTACCCTGTCTATTTAGAAAATTCTACATTTCCTTAAAAACACAGGTTTGCCTAAAATCTTTTCATCTTGTGCCAAATTCTAAAAACATTTAATATCATTAGCATTAGCAATTCATCTTTTTGCCTTATAACATAGTTCTTTTATAATCTTAAATATTCATGTGACTTTTATGATTAACAAATTATGACAAGTTTCTATCTTATTTGTAAATAGGGAGGGGAAAAAAGCTTCTCTGAAGGCAAAGACTTCTTTGTATTTCTCACAGAACCAAAAACACATCTTTAAACATAGTAAGTATTCAATATTTAAGAATTTCTATCCCACAAAGATAGTAAATCTGAATTAAGATCATCCACTTAAGAGGACCAGCAAGAGGATAGTAAAACACAGATCAGTTCTAGAAATAGGCAAGTTATTTCTGAAAGAAAATCAAATTTAATGCTAATTATCAGTGCACATTTCAAGGGGTTAACTACATAGTAAGAATACAGTCAGCCCTCCAGTATCCACAGATGTGGGACCCACAGATATGGAGAGCTGACTGTACTAGACCATATTACATAGTCTAAGAGACTTAAGCATCCACAGATTTTGATAACCTGGGGAGGGAGATGGGTCCTGGAACCACCCCTCGTCCTGACTACTGACATACAACTATACTATCAAACTGTGCCTACCACAATTAGGGGCAAATCATATGTTTTATATATTTGACAATTTTTAGAAATCAAGTATATTTTATCTAATATGTTATAAATTCCAAAGACAAACAAAAGGAAATTTGCGCTAAAATATCTTATTAACAAGCATGAAAGACAGTCATTATAGTAATAAAAAGGATATCAGCTTTAGCAAAGTCTCTTATCCCACACTGAGGTAATCCTGGTGTGTTCTGCATGTAGAAATCCAAGTAAAACCAATGGGCAAGTTCAATCTGAAAACACACTCGGATAGCATTGTCTCTTTCCTCGCTGGGAATATGCAAAATAAATCGGCTGTCAAAAACAAAAAACATAAAAATTACATTTACAAACCATAACCATTTATTTCAACCTTTTTAACTGCTCCATCTCTGATCCACCAATATAGAAAAGGGACCAAGAGTACTGCTGGTCAAGGAAGCGAAGCAAATAGGAAATCACTACAGGGAAGATGAAAAGAGGTACCACATGCATTTCATTTATAACAATTTTTTAAAAACTGCTTTAGTTTTAATTTTTGAAACATCCACTGCATTTTTAAAAAATAAAGAATTTGCTTCTGTTAAAGCTAGATCACTAGTATAACAATTAGGCAGCTGCTGATAATCAGGTTCTTTCCTGTGAAGGTCTCTGAAAATGGACAGTTTTCTTGTTTAGCTTTCTGAAATAAACTGCAGAGCAGGCAGGGCTTTCTGGATGACTCCTTCTGAAAGAAGTTTAGAAAACACCACACATTTTATACTTATTCTTCCCACCCTTTCAACATGTAGATGAACTAACAAGATTCCCAAAGGGAGCAGGGCTTTGGCTCTTCACACCTTGGGATCCGCCACCCTGCCCACTTCCTGCCCCCAAGGCAAGGTGCCACAGTGATCTGCAGCATCTGCCGACATAGTGCAAAGTATCTGTGTACAAGACGTGTTTTCTAACCCATGCGAGTGCAGTAGCCACATCTCCATGTGGATGGCATGACTGTCCTCAAAACCGGCTCTAGGCATTCACCACGGCCTGGCTGGCTGCCGCACTGCACTGCCCGAAGTCATAGTTGTGGCGATGAGGGTGTGCTTGTTCTGTGGTGAAGCCACTATGGGATTAGAAGGACATGTGATCGGGGAAGATTCTGTCACCACTACCGGTCAAGGAGGGAAGGCTGTCACTGTCATTCTCTCTGCCACTCAAAACCGTAGATTTTATGGTCCTAACTCAGTCTTCAAATGACATGAAGGTTGCAGAATTCCTCCTGCCTCGAGATTCCTGCTGATGGCAGAGCCCAGGGTAGACAAGGCAGTTGAAGTCTTCCATCCCACCTGAGAGAGTGTTTCCCAAGTCTTCTTGCAGAGGTCCGACTGGGTCACTTTCTCATCCCACTCTCCAAGTTGTTCAGAAGTTTTCATGCAGGTGTTAGAGACCTGCAGGTCATGCCAACTCTAAGACAGGTTCTGCTTCAGGCTCTCCAAGGCAGTCAGGCTTGGCCTCCATTTCAGCGCCCCACAGAGCCTCCCCTAGGCTGCCAGCACCTATAGCAGGGTGACAGTTTCCTCTGCCACCTTTGCGAGCTCGACCCTGACCAACTCCTCCTCCTCGGCCCTCCTCAGACCCTCAACAGCAGAAGCCCGGGCAGCCACTGCTGCATCAACAGGGACATCCGTCACAGAGTCAGAGAGCAGACCTTTGTTAGGAGAATTCAGACTGCTGTCTTGGCCAGTGGAGCCCAAGTCGAGGCCAAGCAAACTACATCAGCCCACAGAACCACCTCAGCTGTCGCAGCATTACTCATGAGAGAGTTTCTTAAGAGCCATCTACTCTCTGTTCACAAGTACAGAGATGAACTTAAGAGCTCACTAACAATAAATTGAAAGTGGGCAAGGAAACAACTTTTGCTAGGATTTCCTCCCATGTCTGGAAACATTTTATTCTTAAAGAATATGTGCAAATATATTCATACAATCAAACAGGAAAGATGTTGGCTGCTTAATCGTCGTAGTTAAAGTATTACAAAGAAATAAATTAATAGACTCATTAATAAATTAGATTTCCTAAAGAGCTCATCTGAAGAAACTGAGTTCAAAATAACTTTCAAATATACTCCCTTTTAAAGCTTTTGCACAGCAAAGGAAACCATAAGCAAAACAAAACGACAATCTACAGAATGGGAGAATATATTTGCAAATGATGTGACTGACAAAGGCTTAATTGCCAGACTATATAAGCAGCTCATACAACTTAACAAAAAAACCCAATCCAGAAATGGGCAGAAGACGTAATAAGCATTTCTCCAATGAAGACATACAAATGGCCAATAGACATATGAAGAAATGCTCAATACAACTAATTATTAGAGAAATGCAAATCAAAACTACAATGAGGTATCACCTCACACCAGTCAGAATGGCCATCACTCAAAAGTCCACTAACGTTAAATGCTGGAGAGGGTGTGGAGAAAAGGGAACCCTCCTACACTGCTGGTGGGAATGTAGTTTGGTGCAACCATAATGAAAAACACTGACTTCTCAAAAAAACTAAAAATAGACTTACTATACGATCCAGCAACCCCATTTCTGGGTATATATCCAGAGGGTATATATCCCCAGTGTTCACAGCAGCACTATATACCATAGCCAAGACATGGAACCAACCTAAATGTCCATCGACACATGACTGGATAAAAAAGTTGTGGTATATTTATACCATGGAATACTACTCATCCATAAAAAAGAATAAAATCAGGCCATTTGCAGCAATATGGATGGACCTAGAGATCATCATTCTAACTGAAGTGAGCCAGAAAGAGAAAAATACCATATGATATCACTCATATGTGGAATCTTAAAAGGACACTATGAACTAATCTACAAAACAGAAACAGACTTGCAGACTTAGTAAACAATCTTATGGTTACTGAGGGAAAGAGGGGAGGCACGAGGGGATAAATTTGGGAGTTTGAGATTTACAAATGTTAGCCACTACATATAAACAGATTTTAAAAAGTTTCTTTTGTATAGCACAGGAAACTATGTTCAATATCTTGTAATAATATTTAATAGAAAAAAATATGAAAATATATGTATGTATATGCATGACTGGGACATTGTGCTGTATACCAGAGACCGACACATTGTAATTGACTGTACTTCATTAAAAAAAAAAAACAAAACCCTTTTAAAAATCCTACATTGTCCTTTCCAAGTACATTCAGAGGGAGGGAGGACATATTTATTTTAATACATAGTATAAATGCACACTATATTACACAGATGCATGTACAATTAAGATAATGAAGCCCTTTTCTGTGCAACAAGTCAGAATTTACCTGATTTACAGCATTCATTAACCAACCACCATTAAGCTTCTTCCTGGCTTAGTTTTTGGTAATGTTTTTTTCTAGCGACCTTTGGAGACAGACTGAACTACATAAAAGAAATCCATTGGTTTTTAGTCATTTTTTAAAAATTAAAAACAGCATTACCTGGTTTGACCACTTTCACTATTCACTAACTGTGGTGCTAAATGTTCTTGGTTCTTTTCAAGTTTCAAATCAAACATCAAAAAATGCTTTTAAATTATAAAAAATAAAGTACATTCCAAAATCTGATCGTGTAAGTAAACAGTAAGACATTTCAATATAGAAAAACAATGGGGGGAAAAGGAGCTTAAACTGCACCTACACTAAGAACAAGACATGTAACATGCAACTCTGGTGGTATTATCCAAGACATAAAAATCTGAACTCTTCTATATGGCATTCAAGATCTGATGTCTGCTCACCCGCCCAACACCTATCACTCTATATATACCCAGCAATACTTAATTCTTGGAACTGTCCTAAATTGCCATCCACACATTATATCTATTTTTCTCTTCTCCTGTCCATCTAGCTAACTCTTAATTCATCCCTTGTGACTTACAAACACTATGTCTCCTATGCAGGTACATCAGACTTCTCTGAACAGATTTATATACTCTCTCAACCCCTTCTCCATTACAGCCATTATCTGATTTTTACTATTATTGTGTCTATACTCTTCCAAACTAGTTCACCAAGATAAGATACTATATTTTTGCATCTATTTCCCCCACAGTCTAGCAAACTGTGTGACAAATACTGGTGATTTTAATTAATCTTTGAAATCCTTACATAGGTTCCTATTCCTGGTAAGATGGAACAAGCACACTCCACTCTGTCCCTCCCATAAAATGCAGCTATAAAACCTGGACAAAATACATAAAACAGCTATTTGAAGGCTGTGAAAAGCAAAGAGCAGCAGGAAGACTGGGGAGGAAGAACAGTATCTGAATTTACCAATTTTCCACCCTCCAGTATCCTAGAGGATTGGGGGTTATAAGTTAGCACTGGCAGGGACAGAGAAAGCTCCAGAAAGCCCTCCAGCTCTGCCTCAAGAATCAGGAAGTCTAAAGGAATCTCCTAACTCTGAGACAGTGGGGGAAATTCCCCCTTTCTTCTTTCCATTCTCTCATGTCCCCCAGTCCCGAAGCAATGCCACACTGGCAGCAACAGAGGCTTTAACAGGGATCCCCAGAAGCTAAAACTCTGATGGACAAGAACCTTCCTCTCCTATCACAAGAGCTGGGTGTTCCCAAGAGAGTAGGGCCAACCTCCATTCCTTTTTTTTCTCCTAGTCTCCAGTCGCTTGGTCCCAAACATGAGCAGAGTCACCTGAACTGTGCAGCAGAGTGCCTTTCCATTTTTGCCATTTTTCAATATTCAATTTCCTCAAAAGGAAGAGTCAAGTACCAAGAAGACGGCAAAAAAGGAGCAGCTCAGGAAAACAGTCCCATGAAATTGTTTACAGATTCTGAGGCTCAACCCCAAGCTGCACAAACTTGCATTAGACTAAAAACAGCAAACCACAGACTTTGTGAACTGAACTATGTATGAAACAGACCACTGCCCCAAGTCTCAGACTGACCAGTGGATGGTACACAAATAGCACTGCAAAAACTAGCCTTTCATTTGATTTGTTTAACTTACACCAAATCTCAAAAATGCATCTGTCTGCGATTTCTTATTTTCTCAGTTTGGGACATTTGAGGACATTTTCTATTGATTTCTACTATGGAAATGAAGAATCAATTCTATTCCTCCCACTCTCATTATACACACCCTTCTTATCTCTCCATCTTCCCAACAAAATTATATCTTAGTTTTGGTTAGTTTGTCAACTTCAGCACTATTGACACTCGGAGCAGACAACTCACGTGGAAAGGAGCTGTCCTGTGTGCTGTAGGGCACTCAGAAGCATCGCTAGCCTCTATTATTAGATGTCAGTAGCACC